GCCACTCTGCCTTTTCTCATTATTTAAAGTAACATCCATGATCTATGAATTAAACCTATTCTCAATCCAGTGTTTTTGTGTTTTCATACAATCTGTTTCTGCTCTTATGTTCATTGCTCCTTGATTGTTCTGGCCCCCCTTGTTATGTTTGGTTCCTTCAGCCTGAATTTCTAGAGGAGCCTCATAGGATTATGGGCAGAGGTAGCATACAAAAGGGTTGGGGGGGAGCATGGGCTCCTTCTCTCTTTGTCCCGTATGGAGGACAAAGACTATTGGATGAATTCCTGTCTCAGGCTTCCCAGGAACTATCTGGGGTTGGGAGCTCAGGGCTAATATCAAGGTGATTGCAAAAGGTTTCACCCAGGGAAGCCACTGCTAATGAGTGAATATTATAAAACAAAGCCTGCTGTAATCAAGCAGTACATGATTCCAACAAGTTATACAAAACCCACACTTTTTTTTAGTTTTGAATTCATTTTTTCCATTCATTCCATGAATATTGATTGAAAGCTTACTGGGTGTAATTCTTTATCAGGTGGGCACTGAAGAGAGTGTCATAACAAGTGTTACCATTGATTGATTTCCTATTGTATATCACACATTTAACTTCTGCTTTTTCTCAACCTTACTTTCATAACACTTGGATAATATCTCCATTTTAAAAATAGGAAAATTGAGAAATGTGAGAAAACTGAAGGTCAAATAGATCAGATGACAAGCTTTTTTTGGTGAGGTTTCTAAATGTGAAACTGTGCACCACCCTGGAGACTGGATCTGAATCCAGACAGGCCTCTATGTATGAAATTGAGGCACATGCACCTTGTTTTTGATGTTTTGTTTTGCTATGTAATCATCTACACTTGTCTACAAACTAATGATACCATGTGACTTGCAGGCCAAGTCGAAAACTAGAGTGCATTTTTCAGAAGTCTTTCTACTGTCTCTTTGTCTCAGAACATCTTCAAAGAATGAAAAAAAGGTTGGAGTTGATGGACATGTAATAGGATTGTAATCTAAAAACTATATTTTCAAAAGAAACCCTTTCAAGGTCACATTCAACTATGTGATAAAATTGAAATATAAATTTAAGTAGGAAAATATGTAATTACTACTATTTATACTGCTGGAAAAAAAATCATAGATTGTGTAATAGAAGATAAGGGGTCAATGTCTAGAGTCCCTGTAAGAAAAAAGAACTAGAGGAAAACTTTTAATTTATTTTCTTGGTATCTCCTGATTTTTCTCCCACTTTTTGAATGGTGTCTTCTAAACCATCAACTCTATGTTAAAAATGAAAATCTCAACACTCATTACATTACAGAAATGTTCGTGAGTTATGTGTCATGTCCTTTCATCTTTTCTGCCTCTAGGGGGAGGTATGTTTTCAACAATTCTGTCTCCAGAAGGTATTTTCTTGTGGGCTCCAGGCTTCACTGGGGTGTTCTTTAGTGTGACCTCAGGGCTGACTGGACAAGGGCGAAGAGGTTTTTTGAAACTCTGGATAGGTGTTTACTTTAGAGGTTACGTCAGGATTTGGAGGGAGGTTTAAAGATTTACAAATGGTGGAGAGAAACATCCCTCCAGTAGCATTTCTACTACATTTCAAAGAATCATATGTTAGGGCCCCCATTTGGTACCACCTCTCTTAGTAGTAGCAGAAAAACATGGACACACATTTTATTTTCCAGAGCTGGAAACAAAACAGTAGAATACATTATAGAAAACTTGCCTTCTTATGTTAATAGTTTAAAGTTTAAAAAAAAATCATGGTTTGTGAACATTGATGAATACATTTCTACATCCTATAAATAGTCTATTAATCTCTGTAATATCACATTTAGGACTAACATTGTCTTTAGGCTTTCAATTGGCTAATTTTATTTTATTTTGTAACATTTCCCCATTATTTTCCTTTGTTTTCATTCAACAATTCAAGCCAGAAAGGATACACAGAGTACAAAGGTTAGTGTTCTTTTGAATGTGAAAAAACCAGTTCTTTTATTCCCATTTCAGTATTTTACAGAATTGAAAGAAACAATATTTAAAAACTGACTATGAGGGATGAGATGAGTTTTTGCTATTTGTTTTCACTCTGCTTATTTTCTTGTTTTGCTTATTTCTTACGATTAAAATGTTACAAAAGTTCTATTCTAAAATGATGTTATTTTCAGCTTTACTGTGCTGGATAGCCTGAAAACTTAGCTAAATGTATTTTTTGTCTTTTTGAGACAGGGTTTTGTTATGTAGGCCAGGCTGGCCTGGCACTTGTGATCCTCTGCCTTGGCCTCTCCAAATGGTAGGACTATAGACGTGCATCACCACTCCTGATACAAGGCAAAATTTCGGTAAAAAGAATGTTGCTACTTAAAGTGGGAGCCAGCTTTCTCCTCAAGTCTCTTTAACATGATTTAATAGGAGATAACAGTTTATTTCTATTCCAATCCTATTAAAATAGTCTCAGGGGATGTGGGAATAAGTGTACCATACACACTCTTTGGGCCTCAATTCTTGAACTAGAGAATGAGACATCAGGCAGGGGGACTTCTTCAGTCTTTTGGGCCCTCAGAGTGCAGAACTCCACTTTCAGCTAACTGCAAAAAGTCTCGTTTGATGTAAAGTACACAAACCCATGCCATTAAAACGCATATGCTTATATCATTTGGTGAGCCCCCCCCATAATCTTGTGCCTGTTTGCATTTGAAAAGCTTTCTTTAAAAACCGAATTTCTGCTCATTGTTATTTTAAAGGGGTGTTTTGAGCTCGGTGAGGACAGCAGCACTGGCTCTCTCCTTCTGCTCTCTAGTTCGGGTGGTCTTCTCTTCCACAGTCTCTCTTCCATGCTCTTTAGCAGCAAGCTGGAAGTTGAGCGCTCCTGTCCAAAGGCCACCGGCAGTGTCTGGTAGTCGCCCTAACGTAATCGCACTGCCCTGTTGCTGACCCTCGGGCGAGGCTGGGCAGCGACTAGGATGGATAGGCGTTCACACCCAGAGCCACTGAAACCCCAGACTCGCCGAGTAAGCCCACATCACACACTACAGAATCACATAACCGTTGGCTGGTGTTCCCCAGACACAGGGCATACCGGGGAGTAACAGGAAACCTCCGTCCTTCACGTCTCCTGGCAACCAGCTGAAATCCACTAAGACCCTTGGAATTCGGAGTTTAGCTGTTGTCCCGTTGTCTTCTCCCCGCCCCCCACCCCCTTAAACAACTATGATACTATAAACAAATGCTTGCTCTCCCAGAAGTTCAGGAAGGATGTAATTGCTGGGAAGTACTAAATCTGTTTCCAGTGTGTAGATTACTCTCTAGAGTTTAATTTTATGTAGATGCCTCTTTTGCTACTGGTTAGCTCTAATTAAATAAATCAAAGTTCTCTCAGAAGTTAGACTCTCCTACTTACACTGAGGATTTAGGGATTACAGTGCCTAAGTTTAAATTTAAATGACCCCAGAGGATGAAAATTTACCCATAATTACATTTACCAAGCCAGAAAGGGCGATAAGGAAAGTGCTGTTAACGGCCAATGAGGCTGATGCCTGAAGTTGCTACATTCCAGCAAACCTCCATTTGCCTTTTCTTAGTCACAAATGGGAGCAAAGGCGTTTTAGGGCTTCAGAGCGGGAAAAAGAAAGAAAGAAAGAAAGAAAAAGAAAGGAAGTAAAGAAAGAAAAGAAAAGAAAGAAAAGGAAAAAGCGCCAGGGATGGTGGCACCGGGTTGAGTCGGGGACAGGTTTCTGCCGACAGAGGGCGTAGATTTAAGACTAATAGAAATTGTGGACATGGACTCCCAGTCAATGATACTTCAAAACATTTTCAATTAATTTTAATTTGTGGGCTTTAGGTGTCAGAATTCTCTCGTGCGCTGAAGCAGGGTCACATTTGCAAGTGACTTTGGTGTACCACCACATACGGAGGGGCAAGTTCCTTCCGGACTTGCCCAGCTGCGCGGCGGACTTCTGCGACTCGCCTCTGGTCGGGGTCTTCTCCACGGCCGTCTCCGCACTGCTGTGGCTGTGACCGGTGGGAGGACTGCGTCTCCGAGGCTGGACCTTTGTTGGCATCGCAGAATCTCCCGCGCAGTGCCTGGCGCACCTCGGAGAAGAAGCGGTTGGATCTCAGAGCGCTCGGGTTGCCGCGGAGCATTTGTGCGTACCCCGAAGACTCTCTGGGAGGTTTTGGGGAGACAGTCCCTTTATTTAATTACCCGTTAGCAAACCAAACCCCGAGGACACTTTGGGGATGCTTTTCAAGCTTTGTGACACTTCCAGAAGCAAAACCCTTCGCTCACTGTTGGAAGCAACAAGTTTCGCTTTCCTAGTCTGTGCGCGGGGACAGCAAGACGCCGCCACCGCAGTGACTTTAGCGAGGACCCGCTCGGCTCAGGAGAAGGGGGCCCACGCAGGGCTGGGGAATGAAGGGTGCGGGTAACACCCGGGCCGGTTGGGCAAACCAGGTCCGCGAATGAGTCTTCTGCTCTGGGACCTTGGTCCCTGTCCCGTGACCTTGCGCTGTCCGGGTGGGGGTGGGGGAGTCAGGAAGGTCAGGTGCCCGACTGGAGTCTTCGCGTCTGGAGGGAACGTGACCCGAGCAAGACGAGGTGAGCGCGAGCGAGACCTACGGATTTTTGCGCCGAAACCAGCAGTTTCAAGAACCACTCTTCTCCCAATCCTTGTGTGTGTGTGTAAAAATTTCTTTACTTTTAAACACATTGCCTTTTTAAAAGCTCAAGCCGCAGAGATCGTGGCGGGGGAGAGGCGGGGATCTCAGAGGCGCGCAGCGCTGTGCGGGCTCCCACTGGTGCAAACGTGGGCGGTTGCGGCTTTAGGAAAAGGCCGGGTGCCTGAGGGAGTGGGGGGTTATGGACAGGGGATCGCTGGGCAGGGAAGGGGTGCGGGGAGGAGCCCTGATGTAAGAATGTTAATGAGAGGCTCCCCCAGCCCAGCCCCCACCTCTCCTCACCCCCACCCACCCCACCCGCTGGAAATACAAGCCCGGCCTCGGCGCGCCATGTGTGGTAACACGCTCTGTCGCTGCCACGCTATTTAAACACCGGCTATGGATCCAGGAACCCGCGCGAATCAATGAGATCAAACGCGAAGGAGATGCACCGTCAATTACAAGCACTTGGACAAGTCTAACTTTTTTTTTTCCTTTTACAAATATGCTTTCAAAAGCAACCTTAGCAACGCCCAAATAAGAAGCCACCTCTAAGCAAAATAGCATATGTATAAAGGGAGGGCGAATATATATATATTTATAATAAGTATATATATGCATATTACAGTCGCACAGGTTTACACTCGGCGAACTTTTTTCTTTTTCTTTTCTTTTTTTTCTTTTTAAAAACTTGTGACATTGAGAGAAGGACTCTTCCTCTCTGTGTTTGGGCGCGTTAGCGAAGGGGGTATTCTATTTTCTTAGAGCGCCCAAGGGGGCGCAGGGACCTCGGAAAGAAGAGTGGGGAGGAAAGAGGAAGGGTGGGTGGGGGGCAGAGGGCGAGTCGGTGGCGAGGGCGAGCGCTTTCTCGAGGCACGATGCAGTCCCTGCTGGTGCTCACTTTCTCCGCGTGCGTCCTGCTCGGCTGGGCGTTGCTGGCTGGCGGCTCGGGTGGCGGTGGCGGCGGCGGGGGCACGGGCCCAGGCGGAGGGCGCCGGGAGAGAGAGGCGCTGCCGCCTCAGAAGATCGAGGTGCTGGTGCTGTTGCCCCGGGATGACTCGTATTTGTTCTCCCTGGCCCGGGTGCGGCCGGCCATCGAGTATGCGCTGCGCAGCGTGGAGGGCAACGGCACCGGGAGGCGGCTTCTGCCGCCCGGCACTCGCTTTCAGGTTGCCTACGAGGACTCGGACTGCGGCAACCGCGCGCTCTTTAGCCTGGTGGACCGCGTGGCGGCGGCGCGGGGCGCCAAGCCCGACCTTATCCTAGGACCGGTGTGCGAGTACGCTGCGGCGCCGGTGGCCCGGCTTGCGTCGCACTGGGATCTGCCCATGCTGTCTGCAGGAGCACTGGCCGCCGGCTTTCAACACAAGGACACTGAGTACTCGCACCTCACGCGCGTAGCGCCTGCCTACGCCAAGATGGGCGAGATGATGCTCGCCCTGTTCCGCCACCACCACTGGAGCCGCGCTGCGCTGGTCTACAGCGATGACAAATTGGAGCGGAACTGCTACTTTACCCTCGAGGGGGTCCACGAGGTGTTCCAGGAGGAGGGCTTGCACACGTCTGCCTACAATTTCGACGAGACCAAAGACTTGGACCTGGACGACATCATGCGCTACATCCAGGCCAGCGAGAGAGGTGAGCGGTAGTATATCCCAGGCCCCAGGCCCTAAGCCAGTCACTGTCCGCGCCTCTCTCTACACACCGGTTCGGTCCTTTGCAGACCGCACCGCCTCCTGAGGCGATGAGGCGCCGCTGCGGGTGCGCGCGGGGACTGGTTCAGGTGTACGCTGTCTGACCGCGACGACGGTGGAGGATAGCCCGTCGCGGTAGAAAGGTGTACCTAGAGGGTCCTGGGGAGGTGGAGGGGCCTGTGCGGGGGTGGGGGGGCGTCTGAGCCAAATGCCCCCAGATACCCAGGTATGACAGGTGTCAAGCTACAGAGGGTTTCTTCCTCGATCCCTCTTCACCAGCTCCAGGCTGGCGATCAGGGGCGCACTACCAGTAGCTCCAGTGGCCGAAGCGTTCCAAGGCCAAAGAACTTGCTACCCAGTCCATTGCTGGAGTGCGCCCCCTGTTAGTGCCTAAGCGTCTGCAGACGCTCTGCTGTGGCGCGCAGCCTCTTGGCTAGCGCAGGTCACGTAGTTTCCCTGGCTGCTCTTTTCACAGACCCCAGCTTTCTTTTAAAGGCTCATTGTATCACTCTTCTCATTCCTTCCGTGACCCCTCTCGTTCCTTATAAACAAGCTTCTGTGGTTTCCATCAAAAATGCCTCGCTGTGTCTGGACTCAGGCGACACTCATTTCCCCTGGCGCGTTCGGCTTTACAGTCTCTAAAAGCGTCCAGAACTTGGCTTTGCAGAACTTGCACTCGTGAATCGGGCGTTGAACCTCTTTTCCACTGGCCGTCCAGCCCCAGTCTTCTCCGCAAATCCCTGGGGATTTCACTAATACCCCAACTGGTCAAAGAGCTCAAGGAGGGGGACAGGGGGGCAATGGCCACAAGGAGCGGGTGGTCGCCGAGAGGTAGCAGTGGAAGCCCCAGAGCGGCCCATTTTACTGTAGGGTAGCCTGCGGTCCCAGCATAGTGCACCCTCCTGCGTGGTGTCGCCTGTGGTCCCAGCATAGTGCATTCCCTACTCCGTGGTGTCGCTGTCGGGGTGCACAGTGCTCGGGGAATACTGCTTCTGCTTCTCCTTGGCGCGCACGCGCCTGGGATGTCAGAGGTGCAACCGGGACACAGCTCCCCGCGACTCCAGTGCCACCCGGGTGAGGTCCAAAGGGAGAGGGGCTAAGCCTGGAGCAAGGCTTGTCCACGACTTGTCATGGTCAGGGACGTGGGCGCTGATCGTGGAGAGGACAGTGTAACCGACGCTAGGAGCCTCAGGAACAGGTGAGAGTGGGCAGAGAAGCCATCGAGGGTGGCGCCGCAGTCACCCTCCTCTTCTAACTTGGATACCTCGGACGCGAGTGAACACACCTTTTGGAGTTAAGAGAGGAGGTGTCGACAGTGGGGGCGCTTGGCAAATTTTGACTACGTGAACAACAGGTTGAGGGCGCCGAATCCCTGCCAGCTAAGCAGGGCGCCCGCTTTGCCATGAAAAAGGAAGTTCTTGTCTAATGGCTCGCCTGGACGAGACGCCACATCGATTTCTTTCGCATACTTTAGCAGATCTCGGGTTGTTTTGGCCGCAGTGCTACGTTTCAGCCTTCGGCTTCGAGGGCCCCGAGACACAAGTTGGAAACTTCCTTCCGCAGGCTGGGGATAGAGGCGTGTCCCCCCACCGTGCAAATCCTGTCACAGCTGCCATGGCCTTGTCGGTCCCAGTGTCCGGAGGGGGGCGGGGAAACACCAGAGCTGTGGCCTGGGATACAAGGCCAAGGGGATCAGTGTCTCAGAAAGGACATCACTACTGCGGGTCTCCTTAGCCTCACAAGGGTTGCAGAGGCCTTGGTGCTGGGAGGGCAGCAGAGTCTTAGTGGGCCCGCCCGGGGGCTGGCTCGTCCGGGCTGTGAGGACTGGGCGGGGGGGGGGGGCTTCTGCCGCACATATGTATTTAAATTCGCAAAGCCTCGTTCTCAAGTTTGCTTTTTTTTTTTTCCCTCCAAGTTTCAATTGCGTAGTGAAAGTTTGCTGGGCCGATGTGTTTATTTTACAGGTGATAAGGTTCATATTTTATGATTCTTAACTCTGAAACCTATCTCCAACCTGGCAGGTATTCAGAGACCTGAAATAGTTTCTCTGCTTCCTGCTCCACAGTCCCCAGGGTCCTCACTCCCTGGAGAGAAAGTTGCTTGATAACAAAGTTCTGTCAGGGCATCTCCTACAGACACACTGAGTCCCTAATTCACTGCTAGCAGTTAATGTGGGGTTCGTGTATGGTTTCAATGGAGTTTGTGGCTCTTTACTCACTTACTGGCAGATCTTGGGAGGCTGTTCAACTGTACCTTGGGCTCTTCAGGTGAAGTGGGGGTACTGGAGCACCCACATCTTTGGGAACGGGAGTGTTTAACTAGCTAAGCTCCAGAATGAGCTGAAACTATGCCAGACCCATACTAAGGGTTCGATCAGTGTGTGGTTTTATTATAATGGGTGTTTTATATGCGATAATAATCACCTTAATCAAGCAGGGGAAGTTATGTCATGGGGAGGAACCTGGACTGAGAAACAGATGTTTCTGGATCTGATGCCTTCAGCCATCAGTTTTATGGCCTGTGCCAGACACTGAACTCTGAGCCTGATTTCTTCTCTGTGAAACAAGGAATCAATGAGAATTTGACTTACTGATAGACTGCAGATTCTGAACATAATGTCATTTTGGACTTAAATTCAACTTTAAAACCAAATTATGATTATTTGAATCTGTTAACTGGTAAAAACTGACACTGCATCTATCTCAAATAATAGTATGATTAAGTTTCCATGTGGCTATGTGCTGTACTGTAGAAAGAAAAACCAAGGGGAATTAATTATTCTCGCGTCTTCAGGATTTACCATTTAAGTCAATAATTTAAAAACATTTCTCTCTCATGTCTTTAGCTAATGTTACTAAAATACACACTTGAGCATATGTTATTTTTTAAAACATAATGACCTCAGCTGGGTGTGGTGGCACATGCTTGTAATCCCGGCATCCAGGAAGCTGAAGCAAGAGAATCTCAAATTGAAGTCATAAAGGAAAATTGAGGGCTATAGAATGAGACCCTGTCTCAAAAAACAAACAAACAAAATATTGTTATAAATAAATAACAATCTTCATTTAAAATGGATTCACTTATATAGCTAACTACTGGATCTCCATATTTCATACTTAAATATAAATTTATTTTAAAAAAGACAGACTTGGAATTTTTTTCAGGCATTGAAAGTTGGCCAGTTTGTTCATATGACTTATAAGATGCAGAACTAGAAGTATTCACACACATTTTTCTATGAAGAACTGTAGTTTTATCCTTTTAGTGATTACTATGTCATTGATCTGGGCCTGTAGAGATAAAAAGTGGCTTAATCAATACAGGGTAGTGTATTTTCAGTAGTCTGATGTAAACAACTGTGTAAGTGACCTAATGTGTGATCAGTAGAATTTTTAAGCAAGGAACCCCTGGTAAATGTGAAATGACTAACACACACAGCTCAGGAGAAGAGCCGTAGCACAGGAGCACCATGGCAATTACAAGGTGTTTGAAATAGATAGAGCTTTGTGAACAAGGAAATGGATGTGTAATCTGAATTTTGCAAATGATATTTATTGCTGATAACCAGAGAAAACTTAAAAAAAAAAGATTTTATTTTTTCTAACGTTATAGAGCTGTGTAGTTTAAAGGAGACAATTACATGTCTTACTAGGAAAAATTTCTTGCCTCCATCTCTGCAGAGGCAATCATTTTCAAGCCTTCTTATAGCTCTTCCAAGGCTATTTGCCTGCATGGCTCTCAACAAAATGCTACTTTTGATTTTTTTTTTCAGTTTTAAGTCTTAGCTTTTGGTACTCCTCTGGAGAATGACTGAGTTCTCTTCTACTGTCTGTTAACCATTACTCTAATATGGTCATGTCAAAATGTTTGGCTAGCTCAGTATTCAACATCAATATTATTATTGCCTTCTAAGTAGTGTTTGTGGTTGAACCATATAGGCTACTACGCTGATGCTCCCTTCCTTGCCCTGCTTTTATCCTGGAGGTTTTTTTTTTCTTTAAAGCCTTTTTGTTGTTTGCTTAGTTTCCTATGGACTTACAGCATATTCGTCTTCTAATTCTCTATTTTAAACCCCTGAGCTGCTTCAGCGTAATTATTTTCTGCACAGCTGTTACGCTGGTTCTTTCTTCAATATCAACACAGTTGTTATTTTGGTTCTTTCTTCAGTATCTTTCTGGGACTTGTGCCACCTCTCTCTTGAGCTAGAACTCTTGTTTTCCTCTTTCTTGGCTTATGTCCTGGTTTTGATGGAATGCATTCTCCAGGAGGATTCTGAGAAAGAATGAATGAGAGATAAATTGTAAGACCTTTCATGACTGGAAATTTCTTTATCTGCCTGACATATAATTATAAAATTCTAGGTTGCAAATCATTTTTCCCCAAAATTTGACATCATTGTTCCATTGTCTTGTAAATTCTGATGCTATTAGTTTGAATTGATTTGGTTTCTGGACTTAATGTTTGTTTTTTTTCCCCTCTCTCTGTAAGTTTTAGAATTTTATCTTTGTTCCTAATGTCCTAACATTTACGTTATAATGTATACTGGTGTCAGTATTTTGTCTTGTGCTTGTGGTAGGCCCAATTTTCTGACAAACTCATATCCTTTAATTCCAGGAAAATTTCTTAAGTTGTTTCTTTGATGTCATTCCCTTTATTTTCTTTGTATTCTTTTTTCAGATTTTCTTTTCTTTTTTTTTTTTTGATGGGACTGGGGTTTGAACTCAGGGCTTTGGGCAGGCACTGTACTGCCTGAGTCACACATCCAGTCCATTTTGCTCTGGTTATTTGGAGATGGGGGGAGCTCATGAACTATTTGTCTGGACCAGCCTCAAATCACAATCTCCCAATTTCAGCCTCTCATGTAGCTAGGATTGCAGGCATAAATTAATAGTGCCACCTTGAATATTTGCTTATTTGGATGTTATAACTCCTGGATTGATCTTCTACTTTTCTTATCTACTGCCTGCATTTCTTTAAGATTTTGCGTGGGGAGTTCTTTACCCATTTCCAAAATTACTATTGAGTACTGATTTTTTACATTCTGTCATCACATTTTCAGTTTGTAGGATGTGGCATTTCTTGCTTTGCCTCCATGGAGTAACATCCTTTTTCTTCTTCTAAGTTTAAATTTAGATGGAATATGAGTATACCAGGTGGACAGTATGAAAATATAATTATTTGTGCTGAAACTGATTTGAGAACATATATAGTGAGATCCTGCTACTATCACTTCCTCCAGAATTAGGCAGAGATAATCACAAATCACAGATAGTGTCTTTCAGCTGCAGGTCCCCCATCTAGGAGCAGTCCCTTTACTATGTGTCAAAAGTAGCCCAGGAAATGTGCTTTCTGCAAGTGGACAGGTCTCAAAAAGGAAGAAAGAGGAAAGAGCCCAGCATCCCCTGTTTTTTCTTCCCCACTCACCCATCAGACAATTCATTGCTTTTCCTTTTGTTGGGTGTAGGTGAAAACTCCTTGAGAGACAAGGAATGTTAACCCATGAAAAGTTGCTCTAAATGGACCTAAGAGTGGGGAAAGAAACTCCTCCTAACTCAGCTCTTCAGCCTGGAATGTTTTCAGCTCTCTGAATTGACATGTAGAGTCACCCCTTCTTCTTTTCTTTTCATCAGTACTGAGGTTTGAACTCAGGACTTCATGCTTGCTAGGCAGGCACTCTAGCACTTGGGCCACTCTGCCAGCCCTGTTTTTGTGTGTGTGTGTTTTTTTTTTTTTTTCAAGATAGGGTCTCCAGAACTATTTGCCAGGGCTGGCTTTGAACTGCGATCCTCCTGATCACTGCCTCCTGAGTAGCTAGGATTATAGGTGTGAGCCCCTGGTACCCAGCATCCTTTTGCTGTTCTTACTGGGATTGCAAGAACATGCTGCAATAGTGAGAAGCCATTTCTAGAGGGCAGTGGAAGGAGTCATTTACAGAGCAACCACGTGGGAAGGAGGACACGGAACATCATAGGTTAAAATAGAGCAGGATGAAGAAAAGGCTATCTAGAAATACTTATCATGACACCATCATCTTCTCTTTCAGAAGTCTTGTACTTTGACCATGAATTAATACTTATGTATTTAAGTACATTTGGATCCAACAGGAATGGTCTTAACTGACTTCCCCTTATGCAATTGGCAGGATTAGCTGATGTTCTGTTTCTCTGTAAATCTTACCAACTGTTGGTAGGTGCTGGCAGCTATGTATTTTCCAGAGTATGCCCCATATTTCTCATGCATTTCCACACGCTTTCTAAGAGATGGATTCATATCTTTGCATGCATCTTGTGCTTCCTATTGTGAGTATGCAATGTAATTATTGTATACATTGATGAAACATGAGTAGGAACAGAAAGCTATCTCAAATGAGAATCATTTCAAACCTTTCGATAGATTGTATAAAAGTACATTGCCCAGAATAGTTGCTGTTCAATTAGGTATGAATGAAATAACCAAAAGAGATTGAGGGAACGTCACAAAAATTTAGGATTCTGAACTCTAGTAGTTTTGCCAATATCATAAAATGTTTGTTTCAAGTTGAACCAAAACTAGATGATAATGTGCACTGTGATTTATTCCAGAAAGACAATGTCCATGAACTTGGCAATTAGGATTTCCTTTTGAGAGTAAACCACATGGTCAACACAAAATGGGTAAGATAAAGAATAATCAGTGTCTGCTCAGATAGACAAATGATGCTCTGTGACACTCTTGGTCAGGCTAAGTAGATACTAACATTTGAAGAGAGAAAGTGTCTGTTAGAAGGACTTGGTGGTGGTAGGTGATGGGGAGAGAGAAGGAGATGGGCCAGGAAAAAAAAAATAGATGGGCCACAGAAGGCAGTCTTGAAGGGATCTTGTTCAGGACTTAGGGAAGCTTGTGTTCTGGTCCTGGGGTACAGTCTGTTCAGATATGGGCCAGGTGTATCTTTCAGATGGGTGCTTAGGGTTATCATTGCCTGGTGTCTTTGAACACTTAAATCCTCCATCTGACTCCTCTGATTCTGATTTCACCCTCAGCAAAATCCTACTGCTTATAATTTGGCTCCCCAGTTAGCATACCCAAGTACAGGGCATGTAGCACAAATACATTCATGGCCATTCTGGTCCCCATGGAATTTCATTAATCTATTAATGAATAGACTCACATTGTCTGTCTACCTACCTATCTATCTGTCTGTCTATCAATCAATATCTGATGCAGGTTATTGAGAACCTACCCCTAAGCAATGGCTGTACTCTCCCTGTGCTGACAGAATCAGATTCTGAATGTGGAATTGAGAAGTAGACCCTGGACTAATGGTAATGGATGCTTGGTGGACAGCTAGCCAGAGCTTCTGGGATCTTTCCAGGGATACCCACTCTTGGAATTGACACTCTTCAAATTTGTTCCCTTGGCCATTTGGTGGGATACCTTGGCTGTTTTTTTTTTCCCCACTGGAGGGAATAGAATTGAATCAGAGGTAAAATAAGAGTCTAGGTCATAATGAGTAATTAGGAGTTTCTTTGATGGCTTCTTTCCTGAGGCATCTTGGGATGTGATTATTTGTCACAAATATATAACTATGTTTTCTACAGAAGCAACATCCACTCTCATAATTATGGTCTTTTGGAGTTTAGAAATCTTGTTCTCTAGGGCTATTACCCTGTACTTGGAGCACCCCCCTCCCCCAATTTTTGTTTTTTGAGCCAGGGTTTCAGTACATAACCCAGGTTACCTGTGAAGTCATGGTCCTTTTACCTCAACCTCTCTAGTGCTGGGATTACAGGCGTGTGCCACCCCTGGCTACACTGAGCCCTTCTATAGTAAGAAATGTTAGGGTTATGACCTGACACTCTGAGTTAATGTGTGCAATAAATGAAGTACCAACAGAAGTCCAGCCGGAGTGCACCCTCCAGCATTAAGGGTGCCATGTCACTTGGGCATAGTCTACAGTGGGTTTTATGTCTTTCAGCACCTATGCTTTTACAAATAGCATACTCATCGTGTAGGGCTGGCATGCATCATGATAAGGTGATTTGCAACACAAGGTCTCTGCTGGTCTGTCTTCCCAATGCTGTGTATGCAGCAAATACAGTGGCCTGGGTCATGGAGCCTGCGAGCCAACTTCCATGAGACTGAGTGGACAATGGCCAAGTCCACACCTCATCCCAGCCTGTGTAATTCTTAGATCACAGACCACAACCTCCTGGTGCTGCTTAAAGCCTCTCAAATCAGATGGTAGGGCTGTGAACTGAGAGATGATTTTGTGTGTGTGTGTGTGTGTGTGTGCTGGGATCTTGTGTTTCGAGGCAACCTGGGATCAATGTTTTCAAGTGCAGACAGCAGAGAGCTGACTTAAAGAGGAATATTTCCTCTAAACTCATTGAGTGTGCTTTTTCAGGAAGATGTATTTACATGCTATTAAGTAGGAAAAGAAGTTGACCCTCTTCCTTGTTTTATATTGGGAAAATCTAGCAATTTATTTGATCCATTTTTAAAAAGACTGTATTTTGAAATAGTTTTACATTTTTGGAAAAGATGTAAGAAAATCTAAAGAACCTCTGTATAGCTTTCACCCAGATTTTCACCAATTGGTAATGTTTTCTTGTTTCCCTGAACATTTTAAATCTCTCCACTGTCTTTTTCTCTGTTCTCTTCTGTTTTTCTTTCTATCTCTCTATCGTTTTGTTTTTTTGAGTCTTCCTATGTAGCTCAAGCTGCATTGAACTCATCATCCCCCTGCTGGGATTACAGGCATGCACCACCATGCCTGACTCTATCTATTGGTATGTATATGTATATGTATAAAGGGAAAATGGCGTGTATAAGGCTTATGAATCCACTGGAGTCCAGGACTGTATGTCCCATGAGTAAGTGGAGTCTACTACCATAGGTAGTTGGTGAGGAGATGCTTCAGGACGATATAAATTCCCTGTTCTGTGTCTGTTGTCCCGTGTCTGCTGTCTGCTGTGCTGGGTGTCTCATGTGCGCTGTTCATTCCTCTCCCCAGTGGTGATCATGTGTGCCAGTGGCGACACCATCCGGAGCATCATGCTGGCGGCGCACAGACGCGGCATGACCAGCGGAGACTACGCCTTCTTCAACATTGAACTCTTCAACAGTTCTTCCTATGGTAACTGCCCCCAGCTTCCCCTCCTGCTCCCAAGGTGTCAGAGTCGGGGGTGAGGAAGAGAGAAAAACCTGAGTTACGTTCACAGATGTGATTTTCATAATACGATCTTGGAAATCAGTGATTCCGAATGCTTCTGGAAAATCTCATGATTTCTCCAGCTCTCTTATCTGAGAACTCAGTGGGAGCAAAAAAGACCCCATGTACCATGGTACTTGCTAGGGGTCAGCATAGCTCACTTTTTCACTCCAGAGGACGCTAAATGCAGCCCCAAAGACCTCTTGCCATTGCTTTCCAACTGCAGGTTGCTATGGTTATGGTGGACGGTGAGAAAGATTTTAGTGAGATTTGGGTAGAACTTTAAATAGAATGGAGAGACCGGAACACAGTGTAGCAGAATAGAATAGGACATGTCAAGATGTACACCATAGGTGTTGTTTCCTAAGATTTTTTACTTTAGTAATATAATTATAACTGTGTGTATATTTATTCACATTACACATATGTTTGCAATGGGTTGCAATGTGAGATTAAAAAAAACCTATTACTGTAAATTGAGGTTAAAAACCATTTGAAAATCATTGTTCACAGCTCCTCTTCCTTCCAGATTATTACTTTCTTAAGACTCTCCTAGGTAGAATTTTGGAATTCACTAATACATAGGGTTAAAATCTCCTTCAATTCCTTATAATGGATCTGGGGAATTTCCCAGAGTCCCTGTGATGGTGGGTGTTTAACTGTCTCAGCAAAACATTTCCCCCTAAATGTGTTGGGACTCTCTCTGAAGTAGACACTTTAGGACTGCAGAACATTTGCTCAAACTTGCATGCTGGCTGCTCCAAGCTGAGCAGTTCTAGCGGAACTGTAAGTGTGCAGAACAAATGGCATGTTTATATTGAGCTCCACTTCCGAGTTCTTGCTGACGATATATCGTTAGACAGGATCCAAACCTTAAAACATTCGCCCCGGTTTCCTGTGCTGATATCCTGGCTTACTTAAGCAGTAGATCATTGTGTATACACAAAAAATATAACACACTTGTTATGGGGATAAAGAAAGGCTGATGAAACAAAGTAGCTACTGCTTCCTATAGTGGATAAAACTGGAGATTCGAGACTTATAGGATAAACACCATATTCTGCCCTCATGCTCCCAGGACAGTCTTTCCCTACTCCTTTCTGAACTGGAGTGTTGGTTTCACTTCTCCTCTTCCTCTTCTTTTTGTTTTCTTTTCTTTGGCAGTGGGTTTTGAAACAGGACCTTACTATGTAGACCAGGTTGGCCTTGAACTCCTGATTCTCCTGCCTCAGCCTTCTGAGTGCTGGGATTATAGACGTGCACCACCATATCCATCTAGTTTCACTTCTTGCCCTAAGATCAAATGCCATTGCACTAGTGGTTGTAGCACTGAATTCTTTGACAGAGGGGTGGAGCCTGGTGAAAATGACAAGCATTTATTCTGAGTTTTGCATGGTAGCAAGTGAAAATTTAGAATTTAGAAGGGATGCATATGAATGCACATTGTACTGGGGCAAGTGTATTTGTAATGTGCTTTCTTAGGCATTGTGCATCTAGTCTGGAATTCCTTTTATTCACTTGTATTACTCTTCCCTGTTATTCATAATGCATGAGTATTGTAGAAAATTTGGGAAACATCGAAAAGCATGAGAAAGAGAAGAAATTATAATTCTGCTATCCAGATAAAAGAACATTGATAATTTTCAGAAGTATATACATCCTAGTATAGATACATAGTCTACAAAAACAATTTCAATAAAATGGTAATATTATTTATAGTATGACTGCAATTATGCTGACATGCTATCTTAAATCAGTCTCTTGTTTTTAGAGCTTGTTTTGTTCCCAGGATTTTGCTGTTAAGAGCAAAAAGCTATATTGAGTAGCTTTACATGCATGTACGGGAGTGTTGTAGAAGCGTGCAGGCACTCACATATTTCTGCATATATAACATTATGCAAGATAAATTTCTGGAAGTGGAACTGCTCACTCAAAGATAATGTGCATTTTTTTTCTTTTGCAGTACTGGGAGTTGAACCCAGGTCTCACCCTTGCAGGGCATGCACTCTACCATTTGAGTCGTGTCCCGCCCCTTGCTTTCTTATTTTGCTTTTGAGATAGAATCTGGCCTTGATCAAAATTCTCTAGCCTCCACCAGCTGCGATTGCAGAGCAGTTAAGTTTTGATAGAAATTGCCAAATTGCCCTATAAAGAGGTTTACCAATTTATAATTTTGTGACAATGTATGAGATTGTCTGTTTTCCTACATTCTTACCAATCCTGCAAAATCTAACCTTATTTTATTTATTTTTCTTTTTATGTCCATAAGCAGAGTACTGAAGTTTTCCTTTTTTAACACACACACTTTAAAATTATTTAAAAAATTTAATAATATAAGATAAATTACTTTAATGTAAACAATTCTGTGGTCCTTAGTACATTCATAGTGTTAGATAGTTACCACATTTAAATTTATATTATTTTAAATTGAAAAATCATAATTATGTTTTGCTTTATGAAATCTAGTGCGATGTTTTGACATATGTACACACTGTGCAGTGACCAAATCAGGTGAATTCACATACCCATCATCTTAGTTACTTGACATTTTTTTTGTGGTGATACATTTGAGCAGCCTTTTTTTTTTTTTTGATGGTACTGGGATTTGAACTCAGGACTTCATGCTTGCAAAGCAGGCACTTTACTGCTTAAGCCACATCTCCAGTCCTGTGGTGATACATTTGAAATTTACTCTTTAAGTTATTTTGAAACATATGTTTACTCTGTACCATCTCTGTTGAATTTACTCTCAGGGAGGCGTTTTATGATTTTGGTTGTTCTTAGGATTCATGATGTTCTCCTGTGACATATTGTAATTGCAGTTATAAGGAAAATATATGAGTTTTGTTTATTTATTTTGCAAGATTTCCACATACTGAGTCCTCTGTTCAAATAATTTTAGCACTATTTTCACACAACAAAAGTTTTCTTCCATTTTGATAGCTGAATTTTAAAATTTCTTATTCTTATTGCATTGGCAAGAGCCTCAAGAATATTATGTAACTGGTGATAATTTCATTTCTAACTACTTGTCTTGGGGAAGATTTTAAAGTATACATTTATTCCTAGAATACTCAGCATGAATTTAAAAATCAGGAATGAATTTTGTGTTTTAATCCCATGCATTTGACCCATTCTTTAAAAAAATTTCCTAATATTGAGCTATCATAATATTCTTAGAATTAAGCGCACTTTATCAGAGTGATTTTTTTAGATACACTTGTTAACTTCAGTTCTTAGTATTTTATTTAGAATTTTGAATCTATATGCATGAGTGAGTTTGGACAGGAATTTTCTTGCCTTGAGATGACCTAGCCAGATTTTAAAGTCAGGTTTACATTAGCTTTATAGAATTAGTGGGGTCACTTTGCACTGTTTCCCAAGCTCTAGAGCAGTTCCTATAACCATGGGAATATTCCTTGAACTATATATTTGTACTTCACTTATTTTAATTGTTGGGAAACTTTTAAAAACCTTTTTATTTTGGAGTAATTTTGAATTTATAGAAAACTTGCAAAAATCATTTAGAGTTCATGTATATGATTTACTAAACCTCTTCCAATGTTGACAACTTAAATAACCACAGTAAAGTCATCAAAACAACAAAATTAACACTGCTACAATACTACTAACTAAAGCACAGGCCTTATTTGACATTTATGACCCTTTCTCCTCCCTCTTGTTTTGTTCCAGGATCCAATTGCTGGATCCACACTGCACTGGATTGTTGTGTCTCATTACTGTCCTCCATTCTGTAATAGTTCCTCAGGCTCCCCTTGACATCTGACCTTGACACTTTTGACGAGCCTATTATTTTGTAGAATATCTCTCAATATCTTGTATTTACTGATAAGACTGAGTTTGTGCATATTTTTTTCAAAAATATAATAAAAGTGATGTGTTCTTCTTAGTGTATAATACTAGCATATAAGAAATTATAACCATGTAACATTGCTGATAATATTTGGACAACTTTTTAAAACTTACTTTCCCATAAGTTGTTTTTCTGTCTCTTGAAAATTTAATTGTACATAGTTATGTAGAGTGGTCTTACACAACTTACAAAGAATACTTGATGTTTGATTAAAACCCCTTTACTTTAGTTGTTAAACTATGTTGGGCTCTGATGTCAGTCTGCCGGAAAGGGTGATCCATGTGCTAACTCTTGACTCTAAGGGCTAAAGGTTAATAGTTTAACCCTTTACCCTGGCAAAGTGACCTAGCCCTGCCTTCCCCTGTGAGTCCTAGTTTCTTCTAATGGTAATAATAGTACTTGCTTTTTGACTTCAGGCTGAGTAATAGATGAGGTGATATATGTAAAATACTTAGCAAACTGTTTAATAAATGTTAGCCATATTTAGTATTGGTCTAAATTTACTTTGACCATTACACATTGCACTTTAAAAATTATAAGTGAAGTTTGCAAACTTTTCTCTGGTGGTAGTTTTATAGATAGATTTAGGACTATACATTCTGTTACTACCTTAAGCAACTTTTAGCTAATATATCCTAAGGTCTGGGTGCATTAGGAATTATACCTGGATGCATATAACCAAGACATACAGCATAGTGACTGAAACAAATGCAGAGGTTTATTCTCTCACCTGAAATAATTCTAGAGGTGGGAAGTCCAAGATAGGGACAGGGCTCCATAATGTCATCAGGGATATAAGCTTTTTTTGTTTCTGTTCTCAGGATCCATTCATTCTCAAGATCAAAGATGGTGGCCAGGGCTCTGGGGATCATGCTTCAATTCTAGGCAAGTTAGGGGAAAGACAGCAGGTGAAAAGAGATCCTTCCAGTTGACTTGGCTCTTTTCAAAGGGCTCTCCTGGAAGGCCCACTCATCAACTTCTGTTTACATAAGATTGCCTGTCCCTGGCCCAGTGGAGGCCAGGATGCTTTTATCTGGATTCACTGATACCC